GCTAATTGCTCAATTCCGTGATCGGAGTAACTCTCATTTCACATACTATTCAACAATTTGCACTGTGCTTGATAGGCATCGATTGGAATTCTGATGATACTCAAATTCTTGGGCAATCAAATCTATTCAAATGATGAAGTAGCGGTTAGGCGATTAACATTCTGAAACTGTTCATTTCAATCGAAACGACTAAAGACGATCGGAGGTTGCTTAACGATCTGACTGGAAAATAAATCAGTGGCCACAAGTGTCGGTCTGCAATCTGGAAAACTAAGAGGATTCTTAAACCGGGAAAGGCATCTGTCAAAGCTATTTGAGTGCAACAGAATATTGCCAATTCAGATCAAATAGGCAATTCAGATCAAATAGGCAGCATAAAGGAAAATCGACTGGAATTTTACAATTAAAAATACAAATTTATCTGAACATACAACGAAATGAACAATTCAGGAAGGTATGCTACACCAAATGCAATTGGGTCAATTGATGTACGATGAATATGTGACAAAACAGAAATTCCTCAGTGCTAATTATTCAACGTACGAGGTATGAGAAAGGATTTCGTCAAAGTCCTTTTCACTAAGATTTCAATTCAGTTCATTGTATTTTACTTCCATACGAGAGATTCTCCAACATTACACCAACAATCACCACGATCCAATCGCAATCGGATGCCTGTGTTATGCAAGTTTACCATTGATCCTTCGTATTTGATCAAACCATCACAATCTTAGCCGATTGTCATGCCTACGCTATAGAGAATCGGCCAGTGTTTTCTTTTATGAAGAAGAAACTGACTGCATCACGGCCGGAAATCTTGTCTGTGAGCTTTTTACCACACATGCTTATGACGGGCATCGACCGCCAGTCACACATCCCACTCGAATAAACGACAATGCTTCAGATCGTTTAATTAATCGCATGATTTGTAAAGTAATCAGACGCAGATGTACGAGTGATTCCTTCAGATATTCTGTCGTTCAACCGACATCAATCAAACGTTACTCAGTGCCAATGCGAATTTCCTTGGAATGTACTACAATCGAGCGTCTGAAAAGCCTATTGTCGACTATCCAGACATTTCGGATTGGCCCAGTAAATTCGTACCGATAGCGATCCATACTCAGCTGCTTAAAACTGATCACGTCAGTCTATGAGCTTCCAATTTTTTAACGTGCAACTTAAGTTGGAACACATCTTTTGCTAAACATTCATTGTGCTTGCCTGTGCCGAAAGAAATATTACGGGAGCGTTTAGTTATTTCATTGTGAGAATATTTTCGAAATTAATGAGACTGATGCTGAGATAAAGCAGTGGTTCTCATATGAGATGAGATTACCCATTTTGGGTTTTCTGGAGATGTCAAAAGGTAATGGAGGGGTTCGGGAAATTAGTATTTTGTGCAGTTGTTATGTTATGATAGAACGCCATTGTGAGGGTGTTTTTTAACTTGGGTGAACTCGTTATTCTCCTATTTTCTGAGTATCATTAGCTCGTCCGGGCCTAACAGAGTTTTCATTCGTTTTAACAGGGTTTTCATTCTTTTCTTTGCTGCTATAGTCGCTCTCATAGCTTTTATCGCTGAAAGTGTTTTCTTTTGCTAATTTCTCATTCATTTCATTCAACAGTTAAAGTCAAATTCTCATTCTATCAAATACACTCTATAATTGATCGTTGACTATTGAGCAATTCAATTCAATTGTTGTATTGTTGACTTCGATTGTCAACACTCGTCAACGCATTCAGTAAATAGTATATGCTACTGAATGAGAAATTGATTCGAGCTGTGAAGTGAGATGAGACGAAATGAATGAGAAAAACTCATCAAGAGAACAGTATTCGCATGCAACAGCTATAAGAGCGATTACAGCGCGTCTAAGAAGAATAAGAATCCATGTAAAACAGTTTGAAGTGAGCTTTTCATGTAATCATAACCGATTGCAACACTGAAGAACACAACGGTCTATTAGAAGGCCCTGCGATGTCGATTGCCATCATGACCTTGCTAATAAGATTGAACGTAACGGTTATCTGAACATAAGATACGCGATTCCCATATTCAATAGGGGGATAACGGCGACCTGCCAGATCATCAAAAGATCTAACGGAGCACCGAAGCGTGAGAACCACTGAGATAAACAATTCGCTGGATTTATTGATCAGAGCGGACTTAGTGTGAAAAAATCCCCTTTTCAGATTGGATACGTCAATCCTGAATGTCCTCGCAGGGATTACCTAGAGAATTTGGTTAAACAAACTCCGGAAGTTAAAAACTATGTGAAATCGGTGAAGGTGAATAACTTCTCATATCGCTATGTCTAAACTTAATTCAATGATCAGAAATTGTTTATTTCTGAGAGATTATCTCACTGAACATCCGTATAGATTACATGGATGCTCAGTGAAATTATTTTCTATCAAGGTTATAATATCAGTCGATAAAATCAGATCGATTTGCCCCGTTCACAAAAGTTGCAAGGCTACGACTTTTCCAACTGTTCTAGCTACCAAGAGACCGAATCAGACCTAAGTTTGAAACTGAGTGTAATTGTGAGCGTGCGGTTGGAACCAAGTCTCAGTTTCTTTCAGTCTTCCAACATTCAAACCATCTCGAAAGTTATCTAATAACATCATCCAAAAAAATCCGGATGTTTAGATATGATGTTCAAAAAACACTTCTTTTAAGAATCTATTGCAAGAAGCTACCAACGTTTGCGGATCAGACACAACAATTTCCAACATTTGGCGACTCACTGAATCCTATATCGTTGAGGTAAACGATTTTTCACTTGATATGCAATGCTTTTTCTGAATTTCTCTATTCAACACCCAAAACATCGCTAATTTGAGCAAACGGGTAGAAGCAAAGTAAAATTGGTCTGATTAGTTGATCGGTTTCAGAATAAAATGAATCGTTCACATAAGTGGCTCACACCTGAACAATTCTCCAAATTCCGAGCGATTGAACGGAAATCGCTGGATTTCATAAGTGGACAAGGTTCGAAAACTTACTCTTTTCAATAGTTTTGCCCTTTTCTGACCGAAATCTGCCACCCATCAACAGAAGTCTCCCCAATGAGACTGAACAATCACTAATATTCATCAAAAACATTAA